GCCCACTCTGGAGATCATCCCCATCTCCGAGTATTTGTGAGCAAAGCCCACTCTGGAGATCGTCCCCATCTCCGAGTATTTGTGAGCAAAGCCCACTCTGGAGATCATCCCCATCTCCGAGTATTTGTGAGCAAGGCCCACTCGTGGGCACTCCCAGAGCCTGAGCTTTCCCTACCTGCTTTCTAGTAAAATAGGTTATATCAGTATCACACTTGCTGCATGTTGTTTCATCGGGGTTTGAGTCTAGGAGGAATCTACGCCTGCTTGAAATGGCGACAGAGAGAAAATATCAATTGCCTCAAAATTTGTTGCTAAATCATGATCCATCTATTAAAAGTCTGTAATTATGGAAAGGTTTGTAGCCAGGCAGAGTACAGTGACAAAAGTAACACCCAGGACTGCTGTTGGGCAGCAGATCAGGTATCCTGCAGAGTCGGATTCCTGCTGATGTTGAGAGCTTTGGGTAAATCCATTTGTTAGCACTGTTCTCCATTAACTCTTTCCTTTTCCTTAGCAATTGCATCCTTTTGATCTTTTTCCAGTAGTGACTTTTTTAAAATCGAGGTAAGTGAATTTAAGCATTAAGCCACAGCCATGCTAGAATGAAAGCTGGTGAACCCAGTTTGCTGGGATAAACATGGAATTTTGATTAAATTGTAGCATGTACTTGTTTCTTATACTACAAATAGAAACCACCACCAAATCTTGTCATTTCTTCTCATCTCATGAGAACTGCCTAAAAACATTTTTATCATTGTAGCCCTGTGGCAATTCCTACCCATGAGTAAGACAACATATCCATGTAACAGTAAACATTTTTTAATGGTTTGTGTAAGTTTAGGAATCACTCTGCTGGTTTCCTTTTTTCCATTCACTCTTCTCATTCCTGCAGAAGTGACTTAATTTATGTTCCTGAACACAAAAAGTCAACAGGACAGCAGAGGTTTGCTCCAAGCCCTTCATTATTGCAATCCTCTGCCCCTCTAAATGTGCGTGTTAAATATTAGCATAAAGTACCAGAATGATCTGTATGTACAAGAGCAAAAGCATGAGGGGAAGAATGTAAGAAAGTAAAAACAGCTGGGAAGCAGCAGTGTACCTGATGCTGTTCTGAGTCTGTATTATCACTGTGATGGGGTAGGAACAGGAAGACATTTGGACACCTCTTCCCCAGCTGAAATGACCAGGGCAGTTGTGAGAGCTGGCGTGGATGGAGGTTTGTTGTCATTTGGTTTGTTGTTTTTTTTTCATTGCCCTCATCCCCAAACACAAATTACTCAGGCTCTTGCTCCAAGAGCCCCTGGTATCCTCCAAGGACTTAGAGCTAAACCCAGAGCAGGAATGTTTGTTCTGCACACCTGCACAGGGCCCTCCCAGCCTGCAGTCACCGTGCTGAGCACAAAGTCCATACATCACCCTGTGAACACCCAGCTCTGTATTTTAACTCTTGGTCAGCAGGAAAGAGGCAGCAACGAGAACTGAAGTTGGGGATACACCAAACATGGTGGTTTGAGAAGAATCTGCTATGAACATTCCTTAATTTTGAAAGCATTTGATAATCCTGTGTTGGTACTTTTCTGAGTGCTGCTGCTCTGGATCATTGCAGGTGACACTCTGATAGTGTCAGTACTGTCACACTGGTGACAGAATTTCTTGCTATAAATACCACTGCAAGATTCAAACAGGTATTTTTTAACATGTATCTTTCTTCACCTTGTCAGGTATATGAAGTTCAGTCTAATTTCACTGCTCAAATTAAATTTTAATTTACTTGTATGAATGACATTTGTTCATCTGAGGCAGTTAACAGGTACCCAACTCTACCAACAGCAGTATTTTGGTTTTAGTGATGTGATAAGATGGCAACAATATCACAGTCAAACTATATCAGGTAAAATGGCATCTAAAAGTGCCTGGTGTATGTGTTTGAAGTATTTGCAATCTATCTGAACTCTTGTTTAACAGCAGCTCATAAAGCCCTCTTCATTACTGACAATATCCATAAAAACAGCTCATGTGTTACAGTTTTCTTTGATATTCCTTTGTAAGAAAGGGCTGCAGAGTAATTCCTACCAAATTCTGTATAAACAGCTTCCTCCAAACTAAAACAATTATTTGTGCAAAACCTTGTATTGCTTAAAGAAGGCCATGCTAGAGACTTCTATTTCTTCCTTTCTCCAACCTTGAAATTCTTAGATGTATCTTGTGTTGTTTGGAATAAGAGAATTTACATAGGCTAGATTCTTTTTGCCATGTTCTTCTGAGTTATTCAGGAGCTAAAGCAAGCATAATCCAACTCTGAAATTTTTTTTTCAACTTTTAGACCTCACTGTACTTGCTGAAAGGCTTCATTTCCCCCCCCCCCCAGTTTTAGAGGGGAGGCAAATGAAGGCAAGTGACTGATCCAGCAGGGCAGGGGTGCAGCAGAGGTCCCCCAAATCCTACTGTGTGCTCCATGGTCCTCATGCCAGGGTGGAGACAGGGGCTGTGTCTGACTGGTTCCCTTCTGCTTTTGTTGCTACCCCTTGTAGTTATAAACAGGAGACACAAGGTGAGGGAAAATTATAAAACAAGTTTATTAAAGTCTAACATAAAACACTTCAGGCTAAATATGTACAACTCCCTCCCTTCCCAGGGAATTATAAAATTGAGAGTTGAGGTATATACAAATAACAGAGGAAAAATTGTATATACATGGCAGATACTTTAAAAATAATTTAACCAAAGAAATCAGTTATTAGTCCTTATCTGAACTTAGTGCTGCAAGACTTATTGAGCCTCTCCTGGATCACAGTCCTGAAATCCTTCATGTGGGACTTGTCTGCCCTTGAAAATTGTTTTGTAGCACGTGATTTCAGAAAGGTTGTCATGCTTTGTGCCCACTTAGAGGCACTAATTTAGAAGCAAATGTGATACAAGGAGATATTTTCACTATCAAACAGTCAATTCAGAGATTTAGAGATGCAGATAAGCTATTCAGGCAAAACTTGCACCAACCTCAGTGCAAAATTGACTGAAACAGCAGTGTGACAAAACATGTCACATTCTTTGTATTACTCTTCACAGAATTATTGAAATTCCTTCTTTTCTTTTGCAAGGACACATGCCTAGAAATATTCCATGCTCTCCCTTATTAATCCCTTACAGAAATTACCAATACTGTTATAAGCCTTGTACTTCAAAATGAACCCAGAATCCTTAAGCCTAGGGCTTACATGTGCAGCTGATTTCCATGCATCTATTGGCAAAAGGTACAGGTGAAGGTTCAGACCTACAGCCTGAACACACCTACAAATATATATATATATTTATATATATTTATTTATTTAAAATCTATATTCTAGTAAATGAATACAGTTGGTAGAGATCATACCTCAGCAGCTGAGATATCTTCACGAAAGATGAGGATAAAAATCAAGATTCTCAGATGGGGACTCAAGAGTGCAGGTCACTAAATTATTGCTCCAAGACAAAACTAAAAGCCTGTGTATTCTATTAAGAAAGGTTAAAATTGCTGTCTTGTAAAAAATAATGAATATCTTCTTGTCTATAAAGAAAACTAAATGACTAATAAAGCAACTGTTACTGTTATAAGTATCTAAACAAATCCTGTATAAATCTAAGCACTGTATTTTTTAAAAAAGTCTGAAATCTAAGAATACAGTAATAAGCTATAATATTAGAAATATAAAACCAGTCCAAACAAACACTGTTATGGAATGCATTTTCTATGTAGGAATGTAGTTATTGTTTAGGTTTCTCTCCAGAGCTATTATCTCTCCTGGTCATTTATCCTGGATATGTTTATCCTGAGCTGCTTTTCCTCAGGTACCAGCAGCATATCATTAATTTGTCTTCCAAAGCTGTTTAAATTTGCAAGTTATCGGTTGTACAGCATTTTCTTTCTCAGTATTCATGACTAAACTTATGTCTATCCCAAGATTTCTGCTCTACTTTCAGAGAGAGACAGCAAAGAGGGAGCTTAGTACGAGCTACACACAGTCAAAATCCCGATTTTGTGGTTCTTCAGTCTTAAAAGGCTGAGGAATCCCTCAGGGGCTACACCAACAGAAGCTGAAAGAGACAAGGGGAGAGGCAAAGGGAAATGCCAAAAATAAAATACCAGAGAACTTTATCCTTTGTCATTTGCCAGCATTATGAACATCAGCTGTTCATAAGCGTTGTAGGACAGACAAGCAGGGAAATTAAAGTCTCTGCAATAACTATCTCCCAGTGAGGACAGTGTGAGATTCCTGCATTAGAGATGTTCCTGTTGAACATGGCTGTACTCCTGCTGGCCACAGTGGGCTTCATCAGCAAATCTACTATATATTAAAGCATAAAATTTAACCAAGCAGCAGGTTAAAAACATGCCCCATACTAAAATGATCAACACAAAACAGCAAAAGGTCTATTACTTTACAAATACAAACATGTAGGAGGAGAAAAAAAAATTACAGTCACACTCAGGAGTCAAGGGACCATTTTCAGACTCTTTAAATGAAATCCTTCAAGAAATTTTCCACAAGTCTGTTTAATTAAGGTGCAGATTAATTATTACTCCATGTAGAACAGAATCAGTTCAGAGGTATCTTCTATGCTCTTCTATTTATCAACGTCTGGACACAAGGCATCAGTGGAAATAAATGCTAGCACCAAGTAAATAACCAACAAAGGATAACTTTAAATGCATTGTTGGTACAGTATCATGACTACTTCATTACTGTTTGATTATTACAATAATGCTTACAATTGTTAATGGCACAAACTGGCAAAATGGAGTAGAAAAGTACTTCTATTGTCACCTAGCTTTTTATGACCCTACCAAGACATTAAAATGTTGCTTTTTAAATATGTCTGTTGCTAGTAATAAAGCCTATCTACCTGGGCCTTGCTAGGTACCAGTTTTGTGCAGTTACTGTGGACAAGTGACATGAGAGGTAAAGCAATACAAAAAACTTTAATTAAATCAGTCAAACTCTAACAAAACCTTGCCTGGAAGAATATCAATCTGCTTTAATGCCTCCTCATGTAGTGTTCACTTATTATTTTCACAGTGAAGGGCAGGATTTATCTCCTCTTTTGTACCCCGTCTAGCACAAGAAGCAGCAGCACTACAGCAAAAAAAAAAAAAAAAAGCCTCACTAATTAATCACTGCATCTTTTCCATCTTTTCGCCTCATCTACAACATGCATGTCCCAGTTCTCCTT